CATTCAATTTTCTTCTTTATTGATATATTTTCTGTTTTCTTGCTCTTTCTTTCTTTCTTTCTTTCTTTCTTTTCTTTCATGTTTTTTTCTGAACATGAAAAATGTCTAAAATATTCTACCTCCCCCTCTCTTGTGTCCTCAGGAGGTGTGCGGGCCTTGGGTCTTCCTCATCTTCACCGCCTTCCTCATCCTGTTTTTCATCTTCACTTTCCTTAAAGTCCCGGAGACGAGGGGCAAGACCTTCGACGAGATCGCCCGCAGCTTCGGCAGTCCCCCACCTGCTGCCTCCTCGCCTGTTGAGGATGCTCCTGCCAGCGCCAGCGCTGCTGTGAAAATCTCACCGGTAAAGGAGAAGGTCCCGCTGGTGGACGCGCCGGCAGCAGCAGCTCCACCCTCCGCATCTGAAAGCACGCCCCTTGAAGATAAATCAAACTCCACAGTACAGGAGAGTGTGTAGAGCAGCTGTACATACAGTTTCAATGGGTGAAGGGGGTTATAAAAGAAGGAAGAATCACTGAGATTTCAAAAATGCTGTAAATTGTAGTTAATAATCACATCTTGGAACAATAGGAATTATATAATTTTATAATAGACCTACTGAGAACAACAGCGTTATCAATTTATAGGCTTTGACCTTTAAAAGGTCATGCTTTCTGCTTTCATGGTAACTCCTCCTTAATTTTCTGTGACATTTCCTACAGTTCCTTCTTTATATCCTCCTTTCCTAAACTGTAAAAGGGAAGCAGTCAATGTATAATACCACAGATTCAATCTACTGTGCATTCCTAGGAATCAAGCTACACTCATTAAAAGGGTGAGTCTTTTTCAAGACAGCTGTGTGTCTAGTCAGGACAACACTTTTTCAACACGGCAAACACATGTTGTGTTCATGGAAATTGTTACTAACAGGTGAAGATCCAGGTAAAATATCCATCGCTGCAGACTAGAAGCAGAGCGTGTTGACAATGGCACAGCCTTTGTGCAGGTGTATCCAAACCTGTTCAGTTCAGGTCCATGTAGTGAGAGTGAGGTGACACGGATAGCGATGATACACATTTGTTATAAAGTCACGTATTCCTGTTATAGTAGATATCTTAGTGCAATATAACTTTGTAGCTGTAGTTAGTGATGTTTAATTATGTTCTATCCATTCATTCCTGTCATGTAGTTGGAAGTGTTCTCATGTCACAGGTCCAAAAAGGGATTTTTAAGATTGAAGCTCCGTGTTCAGCTGTTGAATTCGAGCTGACAAACCAGAGAGCTTTTTAGCAATGCCAAAGTACTGAACTTTAACTGCCACCAGGTGAACACATGTGACCTCAAACAAGTGTGTTTCTTCTGGTTGTTAAATTCAGGGTGGGAAATTAGCGGCAGCCACAGGTTATGCTGAGTTTAATCATTCTGAAAGCGGTGGTTAAAGCTGAAATCCACAAGTTTATTAAACTTTTATTTAGTTTAGCGCCACCCTCGATGCTAACCACTCATTTTGTGGTCTTGGTCAGTTCTACATTTAGTCCAAACAAACAAAATTTCCTGTTTACCAGACAATTTTGTTAAAAAAAAAAAAACTGCTCATGATTGGTTGAATCTTTCTGCTGCTATATTGACAGGCAGAATTATTTGTTGTTAAATCTTGTGGATTATTGCTTTACTGCAGGGTCTTTTGTATTGGAAAACTATAGCTGGTATAACAATAACTGTGGCTCATGAAGGTTAGGACTTGCTATTGAATGTGGCTTGTGGAAAAAAACATGTTGGCTGAATTGTTTTACACATGTACATCACAGTAGGGTAACGTGCAATGTATATTTTTTGTTGAAGAGAAAAGTATTTATTACCTTAAAAAATTGATTTTTGTATATATAGAGTATATAATTATAATACACTAAAGCAAATTTAGAATCATAATGCTTTCCAGAAAAACCCCCGTGGAATGTAGTTGAATGAGTCTGTAGTGCGCTTTACCTGCCGTGGTGGAGATAACCGACTTCACGTGAAGTGCAGCTCAGAGATTTTGAATTGATTGAGAGTCAAACACTGTAAATCTCATCTGTTGCTCTCTAATTAGATGCACTTTGTTTACCAGTTAAGCAGCAAAGCGAAGCATTAGAGCCGCAATCACTGACAGCGATTTATTTCAAATTAATTAAATAAAATGAAACACTATATTTACCTGAGCAATTGCGTATATATCGGGCCAAGCTGTTATTAGAATAGATAAGAGTTATATAAAATGTGCAATCAATAAAGAGACTTCAACCGATGGAGCTGATAATGAATAGAGGCAAGGGGAAGTGCTAATACAATAAACAACAGGTAGACCAGCCATCTGTTGTTTGATTAGAATGTCTAATCTGGTTCATTTATTTTATTTTTTTAATTATTTCATATTTTCACAAAGGGAGAAATGACTACTATGACTATTTAATTGTGTGTGACTTCTGTGATAATCTGAAACAAATATTTGGATTGTGTACTGTGAGTTAAATCAAAACAGGAAGTGTCATTCCATGACTGTCAGCATGGCATTGAGTTAAAGTGGTTTCATAAAGTTAGGAGTTGGTGCATTTAAGCACCTCGAATTTTACGGAATTTATTTTTTTCGAACAATATTCAAAAGCAGAGTTGCTCTGGATGCAAGAATTACTACTATTCAAAGTAATTTAAAAAGAAAAAAACATGGGAGGAAGACAAAGATATAGTCGAATGGAGCTTGGCATTCTTGCTACCAACTGAATGTAAATTAGCCAGTTAGCCGATTTATAGATTAGCCTATACCTGTAAGATAGGTAGGAAGCTTGTGTACCGTCCAACATCATACTACTGACAGTAGTACATGAGACAGATAATCTTTGAAAAAATCAGGTTCCTCTGGCTCCTCCTAGTGCTCCTAATGGCATTAACAGGAATCCACCAGACCTGAATGAAAACAACCAATCAGAGTGAATAAAGATTCTTAATTGTCTCATTCCTAGATTGTCAAATGCCGATTTTAGGAATCAGACTTAACAATCAACTATCTTCAAGCCACCAACCGTAAGCGTCTTTCTATTGTTCTCGGCTCTGATTGGTTGTTTTTATTCAGGCCCGGTGGATTCTTTAATATACCATTAGGAGCAACCAGATTGTTTCACAGATTATCTGTATCATGTTCGACTTTAAGAATATAATGAAAGTTTGAGCAAATTTGACAAAAGGTTATTTTCATAAAACTTACCTACTGCAGCTTTAAAGCCCAAATGCATTGAATGCAACTTCTGACATTATTATTGAGTAACATATTGTTATTAGGGTTAGGCTAACCACTCTGCTCATATGCTTATTGAACTTTTCAATCCAGCCAAGAGTACTTCCTAATTAAGAAATAAGAAATTTAAAATCATGGGTGACTGCAACCTTAATGAACTTCCAACATGGAAATACCTGTTTAGATTATTAATATATTAATGTTTCTTCCATACATGTTGTCACTGAAAATCAGACCGCTTCAGGTGTGTTTCTGGCTTTATTTGTGGGGTCCAGACGCTGTTGTGACGCTTTGTCTCTTAGCCATGTGTAGCATTTTCCACCTTTACGATTTATGTATTACAAACATTGTACAGTATGTTTGGTGTATAAGTGTGTGACACAAAGTATATTTTCTATATTCTGTATTAAGTGTGTGAATTACTGTAGTTTAAAAAGCTGAAATAACTTTCTCAACCGCAGTAATTCATGCTGCACTTTGAGAACATATTTATTTATTTAGGTATTATTTCTTTTTTGACTACCCTGGAAAAATATTTATCTTGACAAGTAATTCAAGTGATTTAAACTGAAGTGATACCTGCCTTGCTTTAAAATACTGACTGATTTGAAACATGAAATATGTCACTGTGCTGACATTTTTCAGTTGTTTTGAAAGATATAACCCTGTAAGACTCATTTGATGTGATGTTAAATGGCTTGTTAAGATGAATATTTCTTACACTGAGGGGCTAGATTATGGTTGGAGTCATGGCTCGTTGTATATTGCTGTATTTGTGGATGATAGTGACGTACTGTGTTTGCACTGGGGGTAGGTGTGTGCTACACTCCTCTCATCGTTGTGTTCAGTGTTGTATTTAACCTCTCCTGCAGGGTCTTGCTTCTACACCCACTAACTTCGATACGGCACTAACACGTAACTTGACCAAACCTGAGTCTAATATGGATTTAAAATGCTTTCTATTACGTTTTGTGATATCACAATCTCAGATACCTCCAAGATTTGTGCTTGTCGCTTTCCTTTTTCTCTGAGTCCTGAGGTGAAATGAAGGTGTTTCAGAGGTAAAAGTGAAGAAGCAAATTGAGAATTGTGTTAATATGAAGTTGTAAAAGCCTAAATGTTACTTTTGAACAGGAGGGATTTGCACCTTAAGAATTTCAGTTTACAGTGCAGGTTTGTGTGATTCAATGTGATTTTGTAGACAAAACTCCCCAGTTACAAGTAAATCAGAGATTGCAAATGAAACTCATACAAGACAAGTGAAGACAAATTCAAAAAATGCCAAACTTTTTCACCAGCCATACAAACTGAACGTAAATTCTCCGGAGTTGGAGCAGGCAGCTAAATTCAGCGTATCACAAAAGTATGTGAAAGGATTGGAAACAAATATGTGGACCCAGGTGCAACTGCTCCTAACCTATCTACTTTATGCACATGTACGGACTCAAAACCATCCACTCACTGTACAAAGATAGGAGAGTTTAAGTATTCATTTGTAAATATGTATTTTTTAAAAGAGTACTATTTATATGTTAACTTGCACAGTCATACGTGTGTTGAGATGTTTTTTTTCTTTTGGGGTTGCACATGTTAATTCTTTTTAGAAGAGAGGAACAGATTTGCTGATTTTAGTAGAAAAGAAATAGTCTCTTGGCACATTTTGCTCCTCCTGTGTGTGAACAAGAGCCAATCACCGACTGTCTCCTCTCTTTCATCTTCATCTCACGTCTTTCTCATCACTCAGTTGCAGCTATGTACTTTTATCTGTGTGCCTCAACAGATTACACTCAGAGCTGCTCAAAGGTTTTTGGTTGCCACTCTGTCGTCCTTTTCTGTACTTCTGAAAATTCCCTGCTATAATGTCGTTGCGATGGCATTTTGCTAAATATCCAAACTACTGTATAATAAACCGGCTCTGAAAGGAATCACGTTGTGTCATCGACATGCTTTGGCTGCTGTGGTCTTTGTTTTTCTATTGTTTGTTTGGTCCTGACCTGTGTGTTATAAACGTGTATATAAATGTACTGACTGTGCTGTATGTTTGAGTGTTATCATGTACTGTAAGTCTGCTATTTGTGCCTCTCTGCACCTCACGCATTCACAGACTGTTACTCAATGTGTGTGTTTGTGAGAAAGCTTCCCTTCTGCTTCTGTGTGTAAGACGTGTCTCTCATTCATTCACTCAGTCACACTTAACAGGTCACTCTATCGGGTGCCGTTGTAATTTACACACCTCAAGTAATATGTAATAGTGTACACGAGACTTTTTCCAGAATTTAGACACTAATAAACAACAATTGTCTCTCTGATTTGCTGTTTCAGTGGCAGGCAGTGAGACTCAATCACGTGATATATGCAGGATGTTTAGGGAGTCAGGTGACACTGTTAATGAGTTTTGGGTGATTTGATTGATTGTGAACTTTGGTTTCTGTGAAGTGAAATGAAGTATTTAACATTTCTCTGTGCCACACCAGTGATGCACCCCAACTGTTTTTGTTTGACTTGTGTTTTTACTGTACATACCAGATATAATGTTGTTAAATAAAATATTCCTCATGTAACAAGACATGGTGTGAATGTGTACTTGAGGGTTTTTTTTCCTTATAATTTAGGTTGCATTTGAGTATAAAGTAAACATACAACCAGAGGTCTCCATTCAAAGCAACACACAGCGTTGTATGGAGCCACAGTTGCATGCAACTCACTTCCACCTCAGATTGCTAAAGCAAGCAAGTTTTTTTCTTTGTAGAGGGATATCAATATGTATGTGAATACGCTGTAAGATTTCACTTTGGTTGTATATTCTGTGCTCGTGAATTTAGTGTATATTAAAGGACCAGTGTGTAAGATTTAGTGACATCTAGTGGTGAAGTTGCAGATTGCAGTCATTTGAATTCAGCTTAGCCTTCCAAGCATGTAAGAGAAACTACAGTGGAGCCGAAGCTTGTGAAAATTGCG